TTCTCTATCTATTTTGAATTTACATTTGCAGTCATGATAGATTGGACACCAAACTTATAATTAGCTGATAATAGTAGTTAGAGTGATCGGTGCAGTAGTACCGGATTATGAAATATTTTATTTTTTATCTTTCGCATAATTTTTGTCATCAGATAAAACAGTAAAAGAATAAATCAAATATTAAAAAGGATTTGTAAGTAGATGAAATAGTTTGGGGTACCAGGAATGACAGAAGTGGGTTGAAACTTGCCTCGTCAGGTCTTAATACTTTTTTTCCCGGATGAAATAAAAAATTACCTCTTTTTTTTGAAGTTTTATGGGATTTTTCCTCATTTAATGTTAACTGGCAACCACCCACAATATTAATCACTCATGGAGCCCCATGGTATGCTGTAATTTATTGGATCCAGGATTGCTGCAGATGTCCTATGTTGTACAGAGGTCTTTTAAATACTTATACAGCCATCGGAATAGTGGAGTCCTGCATGTACAAAGATAATCTACTCTACCAGTGTATTTGTAGTTGTACCTGGCAAATTACCTCCAGGCTGGCTTTATTAAACATCTGATTGGATATCCTTCAATATTCATGTAATATTCACCTGGAAAAAGTTTTGCATAAATCATAACATCACACAGTGCTGGTATTCATGTTTCTGGTTGGTACGTATATGAAGTACACTGATATATGAAATGTAAAACACATAGTATGTAGTGGTTGACGAGAGTGAACAATCTGCAGTGAAACTGGTCCAAATCAAAATCTTCACAGAGGAGGCAATTTTTGGACAGACCATTGCTGCTGCATAAGCCTCATAAAGCTATGGATTTCTCGTCATTTTTAACTAGTCTAAATCAATCCAAAAAGAACCAAGATAAGTGTTCGCTTTCATCAAGAGCTTGTCTGGAAAATACCTGTTTACACAGGATTGACTGTTGCCTCTGAAATTAACAAATAAATTTAAGATTTTGAAAACCTAACAAGTTTATCATAATAGTTGACAAAAAAACAATTGTGATTGCAACTGGATTTGTACTGGGTTAACTTGTACAAGTACCAGTACTGCAAAAATGTGGTGAATAAAACATACAAGCAAGGTATGCCATGTGATGTTTTCTAATAAAATATTTGTTTATTTCAAATGTTTATGAACCTTTGCTATTATGGTATGTCATCATTTCAATCAAGAACGATTAATGATAAAACTCCAGTTTCCTTTGCAAGAGATTTATAGGTAGGAATTACTAAGACAAATTTGTGGGGTTTTTCATAAACTTTCTGAGCAAAAATTGTAATTGGATGTTGGACCAGCTTTAGGAATACTTTGAGAATCAAAAGATTATCACAGCATGCCCTGTAACCATCTTATCATCACATTATTTTTTACAAAAGATCCAATATGGGCGACTTTGTAGTTTTATAGTTGTAAAATCAGTCATCATTCACAAAATTGTATGCAGTGATTCACATACAGTTTTCATGAAGAGAAAGGAAGATGCGTTTTCAAAAAAAATGTATGCAAAATAATCTAAAAAAATAATCTAAAGTATCCATTTTGAAACATTTTCCGTAGTATTCAATGTAAACATATTATTCTACAAATTACTTTATACTAATATTCAAAATTCTCCAATTTTTCATCACAGCCATAGCTAGCTCTCATAACACTACCATACATATTATTTTTTTAGCACAAGTCAACAAAATTTTGAGATTATTGTAAACCTAACCGATTGTAAACTACTCAAAATGCACATTTTTAGTCCCCGTTCGGACGCAGTCCGAAAACGGGGACTTGTGTTTTGACCTCCGTGCGTGCGTCCGACCCTGTATCTTAGAAATGCCTGGACCAATCACAATCAAACTTCACACATACATCACACATGATATTATACATATGCACGTCAATTTGTTTCACGATCTGATTCAAGATGGCCGAATGGCGGCCATTTTTGTGCTAAAAATCATCAAAATCAAGCATTTCCCAGCTGTTTACAGATGGATTTTGCTCAAATCTTGTATATACGTTGGACATTATAGGACCTTGATTCACAACATTTTGTTTTACGATCTGATTTAAGATGGCCGAATGGCCTCCATTTCTGTGCTGAAAAATCCTAAAAATCAAGCATTTCTCGGCTGTTTACAGATGGATTTTGTTCAAACTTTGTATATACATTAGACATTATGGGCCCTTCATGCAAATAATTTTGTTTTTCAGATAAGATTCAAAATGGCCGGCTGGCGGCCATTTTGTTTTAATGAATGTGGTTCTCGTGCCATATCTCTGACTTGTTTTGACTGATTATGTTCAAATTTTAAATATTGATTATACAT